GATTTACTATTAAGCACCTGCTCTGGAAAAGGTGCTATTCTAGACACTAGAGGCTTATCAGTGAACAAAAAGCAAAAAAAAAAAAAAAAAAAAACCACAAAAAACCTGGGCCCTCATGGCATTTACATTCTGTTAGGCTAACTTTTTTACGCCAAATTCGGTCCTTCTACTACTTTCCAGTGTTTTTAGGAATCTAATTTTATATTGGGTCTCTCAAGCCAAATAGCAGTTGAAGAAGCACTGCAAGACTTACTAAGTCACTGATGAAAATATTTCATTTATTATATCTATATATTTTCCTAGTAAGGTGGTTTTCAAAGAGGTGCTGTTTTTACAGATCTCAATATCGTAGCATCGTTTTTTTTTTGTTTTGTTTTAAATTCCCTTATGGTTCAGGATTATGGATTTTCATAACCTGTAGAATCGGGTCCTGATTATTGTTTTTTAAGGGAGAAAACATGATTTACAAGTGATGCATTCTATTGTAAAATGAATTTATAAGCTTGTTAAAGCGAGGCGATTGCCACCACTTATATTGGAGTGTATATTGTTAATCTTATTTAAATGAATTTTTCATTTTTTTACTGATAATTTTTGTTCTAAAATTTCTAGTGGATTCACAAACATGTAAACAATGTGCATGGTATGCAGTAGGCATGCGATAGACATTTGGTGAATGTTTAAAGTCATAATTCTCAAGCAGCTAACAGTCTGGTAAGAAAAAATTGACTCGCTGTAAGATGGAGGGGTGGTCGTCAGAACCTAGTGAGGGAAGAAGTCTTGGCTAGTCTTCACTCCTATAGCTATAGTCCACCAGTCTGCTTACTCTTATGAGTTTCTTCAGCTTTATAAGAAGTTGTCCAAGAAACAACTGTCCTACCTACCCATCCAGCAGTCACAAACACTCTGACAGTCATAGTCAAGGTCACCCTGGGCTCTGCACTTCCCCTTGAATTTTCTAACATGTGAACAGATGGGACCATCTTGAGGTAATTTTTTTCCTGCGGTTGGGTAGGGAAGTCTGTAGTTGAACTGGGATTCTTCCATGTAGGACAGTCTTCTCTGGCCATATTTTGTTCAGGGTGTTCCGAGAAGGAAAGCTGTGTGAAGTGGGTCACTGTGGGGTTGAGGAAGAGTTGTTTCTTGGTGGGCCTGGTTGGATAAATTCAGCAGAAAAAGGGAATGTATATTCCTTTCTTCCATTACATATCCTTGGTTGTGAAGGTAAAGAAAAATGAAGGAGTGAAGGCTTGGGTGTGAATCTTTTTCCCTCAGTGAGGAAATCTGTCTTTGCAACTCAGCAGTGCCCTGTGGGACAATGCTGATGGCTGACCCAACACTTTGTGGACAGGTCATGGAAAGTTCAGCTTCTAATTATCCATTTCTTCTTCTCCTGGTGCTTACATTTTGAATAATCTCTATTTCTCTAAGCAAGGGAAAAATCCAGGGTTATAAACATTCAATGCATTTTCTTGTCATTCAGTTTGTTTGCTATGTGTCAAAGTTTATGTTGGGAGGAATACAGACTTTGGGGAGAAAATGAGGATTTCACATGTCTTTTTTGTCCTTGTTGTGAGGATGTGCTCATTAGGGCCCACATCAGGGCTGCAGAGGCCACCAGACAGCTGACAGTAAACCTTGACCCCAGTAATTTATTGCTTGCCTCATTATTGATTTTCAAAAGGATTCAGGCAAAGTGGCTGTACCTCTGTTATATTTCATTATTTCTTTGTCTGTAAAAATGAAGCATTGTTTATAGCACTGTCCTACCTCCTGGGAACAGAGCAGGGTAACACACAAGAGAATTGGAGTGGCTATTTTTAGGATATGAAGCAACACTAAGTTTTGAGAATAATTCAGGTGAAAATAAATGTGATACACAGCAATACATTTGTGACAAGGGTTAGTAGAGTGTTCTTGCGATAATTGACTGCTATTGATGCAACTTATTACAGGCATACGTAATTGTTTTCAGAAAGATAATGGTCAGCAGCTCCATGGCTTGTTGTAATATCCTCTGATGCATTCACATTTTGTGTAGGTCACTAATGCACATGTGTAACAGCATTTTGAGATAGTTATACCCATATTCAAGCAAAAAAAAAGGAATCCAAAAACATTTGTTTTTGAATTTGTCATCTGTTTACTTGTACAGTGACCTCAGAATATTCGTGAAGGACTTGGTGCCCAGATTTAATCAAATGTAGCTTTTTAAAAGGGCTAAGTGGCTGAGGATATTCAAAATGACCTTTTAAAATAAATCACCTGGCAGTATGGAATATAGCAAATAATTGGATGCTAAGTGTGGAGGTTAGATTTTCTAATGGACAAACTCCAAATTTGTTCAGTCATCAGTTGATTGTTGGCCATGTTTGGTAGGAGTTTGCTAATGTTAAACCTAATGATGTCTGAAAATAATTATCATGGATAATACTAGCTGATCTGAAAAATTTAGCATTTTAGCTAATAATCCCAACAATTTATATTTGAAGAAAAATGTCCTGATAAGTAGGCTTTTGGGAGAAAATGAGGAATATGCAAATGGCCTGCTTCCGTAGTCAATATAACCTTTCCAAGTGCTTTTTTTCCAGGTGGGTCAGACCTTGGTTTTGAGCAGGCTGCATCTGCACTATCAGTTTAGCATTTGGGAGAAGTTTTACTTGTTCCTATCACTGTGATACCATTTGTAGTCTGCAGTGGTGACTTATTTAGGGCATCTCTTAAAGGGTCTAATTTAAATTATGCTGATTAACTTGCTTAGGTATAGAATCTGATGTATTGATATGTCAAATGGTGACAGGACACTTTCACTGTGATGTCTTTCCTAGAATTTCAGGTTTAGATAAAACCATTGGAGGCATCATTTAATCCCTAACTGAGCAAGGAGAAATCACTCAGAACAAATCACCAAGGACTGCTGGCATTCAATCTCTGCTAAAATACCTCTTCCTTTCTTAGGGAGGCCTGTTGCTGTCTTAGACGCTTCAGTTTATCAGCAGTTGACCCTCTGCAGCTATCCAGAACAAGTTTACTCATTGACTCGAATGACGATCCTACAGTTATTTAAAGCTCGAGATTGTGTTCACCCGAAGTATTCTTTTATCCAGACTAAATATTACTGGTTCCTTCAAAAAGACCTTTTATAATGTAGTTTTCATTTTTATTTTATTAATTTCTTCAGGGATCAGGCTGTTCATGTCTGAAATGTACTCCAGGCTATGTTTGTTATGAGTCCCGAAAAATAAATTGCTTGTCTCCAGTTACTCTTCAGAATGTAGCCTCTTGCCAACTGGTTTAGAAACATTTTATGGAAAAGGCCTACTAGACATGCTTGCTATGACTTTTACAGAGTTGGAATGTATACTAATGTAATACAGATCTATTTTCATAAATGTAATTATTGAGGTTCTGGCATGTGTAAGGTGCATGGGAATATAAAATACAGTAGATATAGAAATAGAATGTAAGATACAAAGAAGAGTGTTTCACTGTTTTCATCATCAAAACTTTATAATCTATTATTATATTATGGGAAATAACTTTGCTAAGGGAGCTATAATTAAAAGAAGCAGTTTAACTACCAAAAGAGAGGCATATATGAAGTGTTAAGGTATAAAATCATCCCTGGCCCATGAGATTCCCAAGAGGTTTCATGGGAGAAAAGGATGCTTCAGATAGGCCAGTGATGGCGAACCTTTTGAGCTCGGCGTGTCAGCATTTTGAAAAACCCTAACTTAACTCTGGTGCCGTGTCACATATAGAAATTTTTTGATATTTGCAACCGTAGTAAAACAAAGATGTATATTTTTGATGTTTATTTTATATATTTTAAATGCCATTTAACAAAGAAAAATCAAACAAAAAATGAGTTCGCGTGTCACCTCTGACACGCGTGTCATAGGTTCACCATCACTGAGATAGGCCTTGATTTTGATGGGCACCAATGTGGGAAAGTATCAAGTGTGTTTTCAGAGGAGCATCTGATTTAAGGGCAGCATAAAATGCATATCAAGTGAATAGTGGTAAAAAAGTTAGAATGTTTGGAATATGTTGGGTAAAGGCTTGTATTCCAGCTTAAAGAGTTTGACCAAAAATAAGAACGAACGGTGGGCACACGTACTATAACACATTGAAAATTTGGTCCCCGATTTCGGCAGTTCCATAACTTTACAAACACATTTAAATGAAATAAAATATATGTGAAAAATTCTATGCAGAAATTCTATTTCATTTATAAAGAGTATGAATTATGTGTGTTTTGCATTTAAGACATATTGGCTTTGAATTAGATATTATTATTATTCTCTTTGTCCCAGAAGCCCAGCAATTTCAAGGACACTTACTAATCATAAAGGTAAAGTAAATACATTGCTGATAGACATGTTGCTATATTCACACCTGTGTAAGTTATTAGTACCTTTTCTATTTACTACTCTTTGGCCATATTGACACCAAGGTTAGTTCAAATGGTTGCCATTTTAGTATAAAATAAATTAACCTTTTCTTCAATTTATAGTAATTAAAAAGGGAGACACAGCCCTGGTCTGTGTGGCTTAGTTGGTTGAGCATCGTCCTGTGCACTGAAAGATCGTAGATTCGATTCCTGGTCAGGGCACATACCCAGGTTGTGGGTTTGATCCCAGTTGGGGCATATGTGGAAGGTAACCAATTGATGCTTCTCTCTCACATCAATGTTTCTCTCCCTCTCTCTCTCTCTCTCTCTCTCTCTCTCTCATCAATAAAAACATATTTTTAAAAAATGGTTATATAGAATGTTGGGAAATACTTCTATGTAGGTGTGTTACTTATAAGATTGTCACCTATAAAGTACCTTACATATACAATGAGCTTTATTGCATCTTAATAATTTTGAAAAATATTCTTACTTTGGGTTGACTATCTTTAGTATCTATGAGAAAACTCTCTTCTTTTAATTTATCTACATAGATTGCTTATTAATCCACATTAATCTATAATGAATTGTAGAGATGGTGAATACCTAAATGGACAAATATTTCATAGTACAAGTGTATCTATATGCAGGAGCAGTCAATACATTAGACAATAACAATGTTAATTACTGTATGTTTCCAAAACAAAAGATATCATTTCCTCAGTGAGTACTTTGATTTTGGAACCTTTAACCACTGTGGAAAGTAACTTATTTTAGATTTAGTCATTCTTTTAGTCTCTGGAGAAGTACACAGAACTTTGTGAGGGACTAGGAGAGAATAGAAAATAGTTTATTGTAATAAAATAACATACAGTTCATTAATTTTTAATTACACTGTAATGCATGTGGGAACACTGATGTTTCAATAACAGTTGATTATAGGCCATCTGAGCATTTACTATTATTTAGACTTTATTGAGGGTCTATTCTTAAATATTAAATATAGATGGAGGCTGACAAAAGGAAGTACTACATATATATTTCCATTTGAAGAACATAATGGCTTTTACCAAGAGCCTGAAAGGTATGAGGTAATGATACCTCTTCTTGTTATTGTCTGGAGGAGGGAATGGACAGTGTTGGAACCACCTGTAGGTCTGGGGACTGTCTTGGGGACAGGTGCTGTACTTTGTATAGTTACCCAGCTTTGAAGGGATCAAGACACTAGTAATTTGTGCTAAGGGCCCTTTAATAAAGAGAAGATTGTCATTTTGGGGGCAGTTTATAAGGAAAAAAAAATCATGGAGCTTGAAAATGCTGAAGGGTCTTACTGGAACCCAAGATTGTGAAGCATGTAGGTAGGTGGGTTTTTCATAAAAGGCTTCTTCATTCACGTGTGTGCGTGTGTGTGTCTGTATAATACACTTCTGTCTTCGTGCCTGCACATTCCTGTTCACTCAGTGAGCCATGATCTTCATCTGACTCTGCGGCATACAGTTAACTTCAAGCTGGGCTCTGATTTCAGAGAGAACTGGCTTCTTGAAGCACTGCCGTCCTACAGTGTGTAATGGAAATTGACCTAGGCAAGAAGAGCGTCCCAATGGTTTTTTCCTTGCATTTCTTGGGAGCCAGTTTTCTGGAAAAACAACACATGATTGGTGAATGCTCATTTGAGAAGAAGAATACTCAATATTGGATATCATGAGAGAAGAATAAGAACTTAGTATGCCCTTCTGAATATTGTCAGCGATGTCAGCTTGTGAGAACAGTCAGCCTCTCACAGACAAGTTATATCAAAGACTATTCAGCATCCAAGAACATGTGGAGGCTCTGTCGTAGAGAACCGGGATCTCAGGAACATGGAGACCCAAATCTTACTGCCGCAAACCACTACTCTCATGTCATAACTACACATGTAAATGAGACCAATCCTGAATTAAATAATGAGTTTTTTAAAGAATTAACTTGGGAAATGTCAAGTCTCAATCCTTTTCCATTGGATGAAATGAGTATATTTTCCTGGGTTGGAATTGTGTATTCTCATAATGTTCTTGAAAGCATAAAATTGGAACATTTAAAAAAAATGTGGTGTTTTTTTTTTCTGGCAGTTTCTAAAGAGTGTAAAAACACGTTACCTTGCAAAGCATCCTTTTATCCTCACAGCTTATTTGTTCTCTTTAATGATAAAACAGAGATGCATTTGAAAATAGCACCAGGAACATGAAGAGTTCATAGTTTATTATAGTTTATATTTTCAATTATGTATTTATTCACAAGTTGATTTATTTCATTGCTATTGTACTGGTGTCTATATCTCTGTATTAAATTTATGGTAATACTGATTTCATTTAATTTGAAATTAGGATTATAAAATAGGATAATATTTAGTCATCCCTCTTTTGTCCTTTCCAAGTGCTATCACTAGCAATTAAGTATAAACCAGAACACATGAACTTTGAATAAAACCTTCAGTGAGCTTAGACAGTATTTGGGCAGTCACTTGCAGCTTGTGGAGTGTTAGTTACATACCATGGATAGATGATATAAAGGAGTAGGTGTAAGTATGTCCTAATAAAAAAAACTCAGGAATCACTGCAAAGATTTAATGGATAAATTGGTGATTGATATGAAGGGAAAAAAGACACTGAAAAATGTTGGTATGAGATGGCGCTGAAGACACAACCTCTGCAGTGTTCCCCAGGATTGGACACATAGGTATCACTTTTACAATCAAGAATCCTTTGATGGTAGTTTGAGAAGCTCACGGAAGTTGTTTAACAATTGCTGTCTTCAAACTAGGTAGGTAAAGCAGTTGGATGTGATTTTTTTAGGCCCCTCCCAGCACTCACAGGCAGAGGCACTGGCTACCAAGCCAGCCTAGAGCATCCTAGGAAGTATAGAGGGTGTTGTTTTAGTTTGGAGTTTGTGGAGTATGGAAGGGGAAGGATGTGGCATTCCTTTTCAACAAGATTTAAAGGGGCCCTTCTGAGATCCATACATCTATGCTAGCCCTGTGTTCTGAGCCAGTTTCTTGATAAAATGGGGATAGGAAAATACGTAAAACAAATGGTAAACAATAATAAACTATGCAGGTTTAAGATATTGTGCGATAAAATACTGAACTGTTTTATTCAGATGTTTAGAAAATAAGACAACAAAAAAAGTTCTCAGGGGCTTTGGATCACTTTAAGTGGAAGCCAAAGTTACCTTTATATTGTCCTAAGGTAGTAAATGACTAGATAGGACAACTAACATAAATTGTAATATCTTTTATGTACATTTAAAATATAATTTTTTCAATAATAACTTCTTTATCAAGGAGGGATAGACCCAGGTGATGAACTTCATGAAAGCATAAAGATGATTATTTCTTTGCCAATTCTTAGGATTCATCATTTACTTGTAAATCTGTAGGTTATCGTGCAGTATATATTGTAAATACCATGATACTTACAACACCCTAAACATACATTTTTTAAAATAGAATTTATTTTTAGAGCAGTTTTAGGTTCACAGCAAAACTAAGTGGAACAGAGATTCCCCATATCCTCCCTCCTCATTATCCCCCAATTTCAAAATTTTGTACCAAGGTGATACACCTATTACAACTGATGAATCTACATTGACATATCATTACCACCCAAAGTCTGTAGTTTACATTTTGTGAAACTCTAAATATTTTAACCCCATGTAATGATGTGAAACATTGTTTAGTGCAAATGTTAGAGATGTTGGCACAATATAACATCTGTAACATTGATTCACCTTGAGAAAAACAGAATCTATAATTTGTTTTTTAATTGATGGTCATTTTCACATTATGTCTTTCAGTTTTTAATCTAAAAATGGTTATACAATACCTTATTGTCTTATTTTTAACCCTTCTGAACCTGAAACCACCGCTTCTCTCGAGTTACATATGGTTATAATCTGGTTTATGGTTTGAAACTAAAGGGAAGGCTGGGAATTTTGGATAAAGGAAATTTTAACAATCACCATTATTTTTATAAGACTGGGTAATTTCCATTTTAAAATATTCTGGCCAAAAGTTGTGTGTGCTATTAGAATGAGTAAGTACAAGATTGAAAGATTTTTAAGAGACTTTTTATACTAGACATTTGAGATACGATAAATTAAGGACTTCATAAGTAAAAGGGCATTCCAAGTTGTGTAATGGGTGTTTGAATAATGAAAACATATGCTTCAGAGATGTGTAAGGGAGTCTCCTTGCCTTTGGCCTCAGGGAAGCTATGCAGTACAGCTACCTTCTTTTTCCTCTTTATCTGACAGTTAAGAGGAATCCACAATAGGAGACAGAAATCGAAGAGACATAATTGCAACAACACTGAAAAGATTTTCACTTTTGATTATTTCAAAACAATCCTGGTGGGAAAAAGAGTCACCTACGTTAAAAATTAGGCGAAGAAGCTTGCGCAAGGAAAGTGCTTCCTCCAGACACCTGGAAACACAGGCCTTCACCTTCACCCTGGGAAGGAAGCACACGGGACAGAGAGGCCAGCCCACAGCAGTCGCCGGACTTGGTTCATTCTGGGAGGAAAAGGGGCTCCCCCCGCAGCTCAGCCGCGTCCCTGCGCCGCCGGGCTGTGCGGGCACCAGGCGCTGGGACTCCTTCCAGGAGCCCGGAGCCCTGACCGCCCTGCCCTCGCCCGCTGCTGCGCTCGGCCCGCCCTGGAAGGGCCTGAACTTTGGCCCCTGTCCGCTGACACCCAAGGGAATTTGAATGCAATGACGTCTCCGCTCAGTTCAGCTGCACAACAGGAAATGCTCTCCGCCTCCCCCTCCTGCTCGGAGAAAGTGGGGCTTGCTTCTCCAGGAGGCCGCCGAGGCGCTGCCCCAGACCTAGTTTCGGGGAGCCGTGTGGGCTGCTCGCTGTGGGTCGGCGGGGCCCAGCGCCCTGGGCGGGGACGCCGAGGAGGATGCACTTTCTTTGCAATGGCTCACTTTCCCAGCGTGCCAGGGGACGCCTCTGTGCTGAACAGACAGACAGGAATGCCCGGCGATCACTGGCCTTGGGGAGACCACATCGCTTGCATAATAGAGAGAACACCCGGTCAGGTGGGCAAAAGCATTGGCAGGCTCCCGATATCGAGCGAATAGTGCTGAATAATGCTGACTGCAGAGGGCCTGAGTAGACTTTTAGTCACCTTGATAGAATGTACGGTCTCTCTTTTCACAAAGCCCTGGCGGGAAACCTCTTGTTAAACCCTCCTTCTAACTGTCACCTTTTACTTGGCTGTGGAAAGAAAGATGTGCATGTTCAGCGCAAAGCACCGACATCGCGCTGGTGTACACTTTGAGACAGAGTCATTACATGCACATTATCGCAGTGTGTATGATTTAACCGTTGTGATTCAGGTAGTGAATCTAGTTTTTAAAAATGCTAATGGTTTTGTAAATTTGAGAACAGTACTGTGGTCCTTGCCTTTGGATGGACTATCCTCTAATTATAGATGGATTTTTACTGTTTTTTGACATTTTTAGTTTTTAGCTAGAGATAGGCTTAGGAAATTGAAACCAAACAAGTTAATCCAGCCTTTTAAGTAGATAGGTGTTTTCATTTGCATTCGTGATCTTTCAAGTTACAGTTTAGACTGTTTAGAGCTCATGACTTATCATTTAGTAACGTGGATCTTGTGTGTTTTATGTACTCGCGAGGATGATACAGAAGAGTAGCATCAGCCGGGCAGTCATCCTTGTGATAAGGTCTCTGGTTGCCTCATGAATAGGCTTTGTAATGGTCGATTGTTCTTTGGGCCACACAGCCAAAATGCCAAAGTTCACTGGGAGGTCTGCTAAGGTTTCTTATATCAAAGACTTGACAGAGAAAGGATTTCATAGATGAAAATACTTTTTAGTTGTTCATAGTAAACCTAGAAATTATTCTAAATTGGAACATACACTGTTTACATGTTTACGTTAAGCCGAGTCATCAAGCTAATTAATCACTGACCGATGCTTTTATAATTGTTGCCTAAGAGTTTTCCTTTAAAATAAGTGCCCCCCCCCCCATGATCATTAGATGTGTATATAGTACAATGTCATTTCCCTCTGGACACTTTCAGCTGATTTTGGCAATAAAGAAATTGAAGATTATTTGAGTACATTTAGAAGAAGAGCTATAGATTTAAACATATCTCTTTTAGATTGCTTTTTCCTTTGACAGAATATACAACAAAGATCCTCTCTTTTCACCATCTGAGCCTCACTCAGGTTGCTTTGGTCGCACTCTTACTTGGTTATGACCGGCACAGAAATATTTGTACTGGTATTCTCAGTGGACCACTAAAGGAAATAAAGTTAGAAGTGAAGAACAGAGAGGAAGCTGTAGCTCTTTGGTGCTATGCCAAAGAGAGCAGACTCCATTATAGTAGCCTCAGCAGTTTCATGGATTCAAGGGGCAAGTGGGATGGTGCAAGTGAAAATGTTTTGTAAAACCAGAAAGCACTATGCTAATGCAGATAAGTTTTCTGTATGACTTTCTTGTTCCTTCTCCCCTCCTACAGTAAAATTATACAGAATGTATATCTGAAACAACAAGGAAAACTCTTAAAGTGGATGCTGGTTTTATTCTTTGTGGCCGCATTATAGTTGGGTACCCTGCACCATGTTTATTTGCTCTATAATAAGATTTAACCACCTTTAAACCCAGTTTGGCCATTATGAAAGTATTATGAAAGTATTTATTTAGCAGCATTAATATAGGGATCAATTACTCCAGATCTGTATTAACAGTAATCCTTAGTTTTTGTGCAGCATCTTGTTGGAGGTGCTAAGTAGGATCTTTAGAAACATTAATTAAATCTCATAACAACCAGGAGATTAGCATGCTGTTCTATGAAAACCACTGTGTGGAGAGTTTTTATGGACTATACTTAGAATTTAAAACTTTATAACATCAACCCAGACCCAACCCAGACCTCATTTGCAATTATAGTCCAAACATGTAATTTGATTAATACGTGAGTTACAGATCTATCTACTTTTGGGGATATATTCTATATGTGTGTGTGTATGTGTGTGTGTGTGTGTGTGTGTGTGTGTGTGTTTTGCAGGAGCATTTCGTGCCTTTGTAGTAACCAAAACTACAGTTCTGATTAGGATGAATAGAAAAAATCTTTTATTTCTCAGCTAAGAAGTTTGTGCTTCTTGAAAAAAAATCCTAGAATAAATGCAATTCTCTGTTATATCTTGCAATCATAATTGGGAATATTTAAGAAAGTGTTTTAAAGGACTTGGTTGTGTACTGTCTGTCTTTTCCAATGAATCCCACAAGCTGGGCCAGAATATGTCTTGTCCTCACTGAATCCCCAGTGCCTAGAACAGTGCTCCACTTGGAGCAGAGGTGCAGGGCGCTGGTGCCAAATGGAGAAATTAAAAGGCGAGGCCACTGTCTCTTATATTTCAGATGATATTTCTTGTGCCTGGACTATTGCTTCAGAATCCTCTGAATGGTTTGAATTCAGCAAATATAAGACATTATTTGACTTTTAAAAATGAAATGTAGACATATAGTAGGTGCACAATAGGCACTTATTACATTGAAAAATATTCAAAGAAACATGATATTTAGCAATATTGCCATCCTGGGTGCTTTATTTACTATTATAATAATTTGCAACCTTTTTTTTTTCATCTAAGGAGAGTCATTTTTTTTTTAAAAAAGCTTATTGACATATTGATTTACAAAAGAAGACATATAGGGAAGCTAAAGAACAATGCAGTTGGATTTGAATCTTTTTTTTTTTTTATTGATATCAGAGAGAAAGGGAGAGGGAGAGAGATAAAGAGACATCAATGATGAGAGAGAATCATTGATTGGCTGCCTCCTGCAGGGGATCCAGCTGGGGATCCAGCAGGCAACCCTGGGCATACGCCCTTTACCAGAATTGAACCTGGGACCCTTTGGCCTATGCTCTATCCACCGAGCCAAACCAGCTAGGGCTGCATCTTTTCTTTTCTAGCACTTAATCTTAAGATTCTGCAAGGCAGTTTGAGATCCAAAGGTTCTTTGAGCTCTTAAACACAATTTATATTTCATCATTGATTGCCTTACAGGATCTTTGATGCTACACTTGTGCCTTTCTGGAAATTGGAATTGTGGATTAAAAGACACTGCTGTATTTTCAGTGCCTAGAATGGTGTCCCAAGGAATTTAGAGGCTCAATAGAGCCAGCTTCCTGGGTGGGCAGTCATGTGATCTGTTCAGAAGCACCTCGAGCTTTATTTAATGTCCTGCTGTCTTGAAATCCTTAATTTTGGACAAGGGGGTTCTGTATTTTTGTTTTTCACTGGGCTCTGCAAATTTTGTAGCTGATCTTGTTGCTCAATAAATATTTGTGGCAAAATTAGTGACAACTACAGAACTTAGAAACTTAGATTTTACTTCTGGAAATATTGGTTTGATCACGGGCCTTAGTTTCTCTGAGGTATAACAAAATGAAATACAGACTGTTTGGTTTCAATCCAAGAAAATATCTCAACTAGAATATTATTTGGAACTGAGAATGAATGACCTTAAAAAAAAAGACTTCTACAAATCTCTGAAGTGTTCAGTATATTCTCTTAGTTGGATTGGGCTTAATGGAGGTGCTATTAGAATGTGGAAGACTGAAGCTAATATAATGAGAAATGTAGAGTTCAGGGCATGACAAGGAATGTGGGTTTCAGAGCTGGGCGGCCTGAGTTCTGAGTTCGATTGTTGCCCCCTCACCCCCCACACACTCACTTACTAGGTGTGTTAAGAATTACTTTATCCCGATTCGTAAATCTGATTTTTTAAAAATTTTCTCCCTCTGGGTGGTAGGTTTCTTTTATTTTTCTAAGGGAAGTTTGTTGTTTTATTATATTAAGCAACAATCCAGCTTCTGAATTCTTGAAGCTTTAAGGTATATTTGGGGATTTGTTTCTTGGAAGTTAAATGGGCTCACCTTCTGGTGTGGGTCCTGGGGTCTTAGTGTGTGGGGGAGTCTGGATGGTGCAGGAGTGGACTGCCACTGGGATGTCACTGGTAAAGCCTGAGCCAGTGGACCAAGGCCAGCTCGGAGTGCCCTGACCTTTGGGAGCCAGCACTTAGGAGATACCAAGATAACTAAGTGACAAATAAGTAGCAGAATATGTCAATAGGGACATTATTCTTATGTTTGTGACTTTCTTTTTAGCTGTAACTCTTTGACCTTCTGTAGCAGTTATGCAAAATGGGACTATCATCTTATCTTGAGAGAGGAAATGAATATGAAAGAAAATGTTTGCTGGGCTTATAGAAAGATTGAACTACTGTGTCTTTACAATGCAGAATTGCTTTATATGATGAAACTCATGCTCTACCATAGAAATACTTTTAAAAACTTTATGTCTAAGGACATAAAATGTACTTAAGCTCTGTGTTTTTACCTACAGTAAAGACTATGCAGAGTGTCTAACTTCTGTAGTTACATCTGGTGAACAGATATTTCTTTGAGACATTCCTGCCTCTGTTGAGGACCAAGATTCTTTGCTATTTAACATTAGTGACTAATGTGGAGTTGGCATATATTTATTTACAGTTTACTAATATTACTTAAGAATAGTCACACATCACACTAATGTGAAAGGAACAGAGTTAGAGCCAGGTCAGGGTATCCTTTTTTTTAAAAAAAAAAAACTAAATGTACTTATAATTATCAATATTTTAAAATGCCATTTTATTATTCTTGCGTAGATAATGTATACTGCATTTTATTTCCTAAAGCTTAATAGGTTTGAACATGGAATTTACTTGTAGAAGGCAAATAAGAAAATATTCATACAAGGGGGTCTTTGAGTGAATGATGATAAACTTCTCTACTCTGTGCCATGACGTGTGTTTCGTTGAGAGCAATGCGATTCTGGACAAAAGGCCTCCATGTGAGAAGATTGCTGTGAACCTAGATATTTGTAGACAGTTCCTGATTTGAGCTGCAGCTGGTCAAGCACAGTCCTGACCTGAACAACGAGAATTTAGTAGGATTCCTTTTTTTTATTTTCAATGCACAATTATGAATCAATATAAAAATATAAAGCTCTGACACCCTAGAAAGCAAACAAACCACTGTTATCAGAAAGAGGGCAAAGGGTGTTTTATACAAAAGGCATTAAGTATTGTTTTCTAATTTTCCTTTTTTTTACTTCATTAAGATCTTGTCTCATGAAAAAAAGAGAATTACTTCAAAGATCTTTGTAATTTTTGAGGGTTGTTTTTGCTTATGTTTTTATAGACTTAAAGTAAAAACACATTGACAACATCCTGGGATTAAGAAAGCCAGTGAGAGCGAATGAAAATGTCATTAAACTAGATAGAGTTATGGGATAGATGGGTGACTAGGAACTAACAAAGACATTTAAATCAAGCAGAAGAATATGTTTTAAAAATAAAACAATCTAAATTTTATTACTTAGAAGTAAAATAATATGTCAGGAATTATGTGCTATGAAGAAACACATGACTGTGTTAACTAGATATTAATATATTTTTGAAAAAATCATGGTGGGAATGATTTAATTTGAGATGCTGAGCTCTCTCAGTTAGATTGTTTCTATGCCAGCATCATTTCTTAAATTATTGGAACCTGGTGTCAGAGCTTATTTTTACACTGCTTGGTCATGGGAAAACACACTTATATAAGTTAAGGCTCTTCCATTCATTTATTGCACCTTGTATTTATATAATTATTTGACTGTGTTAGTTCTCTAAAATGAAAGGACAGTATGTTCATTGGTGAACAAGAAGTCAGTATAGAGTGCTCTATTTTTACAGCTGTGC